GTGGTCCTGCCCCCCCCCCCCCCTTAGCTTTTAATACATAATAAGAAAAGGTTTGATTCTGTGAGAAATTCTCTGGTATTTTTTCCATATTGTTACTTGATGGCAACCCTGTCTATGCATCTGTCCTGTAATTCCATTTTGAAAATGCAGCTGAAGAAAATGATGCTTGCCAAAGCCTTAGTAGGGTTCAGCTTCAAAACTGAACTTAATTTATCTGAAAACTCAAACCCCAATGCTTGTTAGCTCCTAGTGTAGCAGCAGTATGGCTACAGGTCCGGATCTTGAAGTCTGGAAAGATGGAAATATTTGAGATTTTTCTTTTTGTGAAAACAGATTGTTTTGCTCTGCAAGGAGGATTCATTAAAGGAAAGATAGGAAGAATGGTAAAGATACACCATTAATAGGTATGGAGTGCATTAGCTTGGTTTTGGGGGAAAATGGGATATCTATAAGTCTTTAACAGCAGGGCCATTGATCTGGTGGTGAGGAAAAGCTAGTCCAAACAAATTCAAGAGTGGCTTGCTGTTAGCATTAAAAATTTAAATAGGCAGTGCTTTTACAGTTGCTGTAGTGTTAATCAATACAACCTCCTCTTATTAAAAATGGAGCTAACTTCATGAATGTATTTTTTATTAGTTCTCAAATATCACTAATTTCTTTGTTATTCCGTTTTTTATTGGGCAGATCCAACACCTTCAAACCCAATCAAGCAGAACATTCCTCCTTCCACAGCTACGGAAGCGCCATTAGTTGAATCTGCTTTTGCTGAGCAGCTCAGGAATGGTCCGACAGGATATGTGGCCATGGATAAGGACGATCAGGATAATTTCCTTGTGGAATCAATGGATGCTGATGATGAAATGTCTCAAAATACAGTGACTAGTACTCAGAAGTTAAACTCCGCCCCTTCTAAAAATAGGGATCAGTTAGAAGAAAGGTGGAGGAATGGAGAAGCCAAATGTGCTGAACTTCATGAAGGCAGAAGAGAGCTGCAGCCAAGTAATAAGGAAGATGCTCATGGAGTGGAAGAGATACTGGAGACTAATTCTCAACAGCCCTCACAGTGCTTATGTAGTATTATGCTCTCTTCTCCCAAAGTCCACATTCCAAGGAAGCAAAAGCCAAGAGAAGGCTCTAAGGTCCCTTTGGATAATCCTCATACAGATCAAGTTGCTGGCAAAGCAGACAAAGAGGTGGGAGAACTTCATACTTTAGGGCACCTGATATATTCCTGCAGGCTGCTTGTAGCTCATAGTTGCGATTTTTTAAATTTATTTTTTTTTTGCTAGTCAAAAGTAATGAGCACTCAGAAGAGAATGAATTGTCAGTTTATTAGATTGTACTGGTAAATCCTTTTGATGGGAAAGCATTTATTTTTTTGCCCATACTCTAAGATGACAATGCTCAGGGCTTTTTGTTGCTTTTTTTTGTATAAAAGAAGCCTTTTGTTTGCGTTCGCAAGCCACAGTATGGGCTGAAAGAGTTCTCTACCTGAAGGAGCCTCATATGTGGTCGACTTGGCAGTGCTACGTTGACGGTTGGACTCGATATTAAAAGTCTTTTCCAACCTAAACAATTCTATGATCCTATATGTCACCTCTTTAATATGCTAATGGCCATGTGTTGGCATGATGGACGTGAAACATGAAATCACTCACCAGTCCACTCTTGGCTCTCTACGCAAAGCCAAGGAGGAGAGATCTTTCCTAGCTGGAGGCTAGGGTTGGTTCTAAAGTTAACTGAATCTGTACAGCTGATAGGGAGGAAAAGTCTTGGCTTTCCTGGGGAATATCCAAACAATATTGAATGGAGCAGGACAAGAATCTTTTCCTAGGAGACTAGTTTGCAGATTTTATTTTCAATTCAATGCATGCTTGGCAGTACTGCCAACTTTCTGAAAAATTCTCACAGAAAGCGGTGTATTTTTCAAGTGTACCACATTCCTCGGTGATTACCCTAGGAAACTGGTGGAAGCATACCTGCCCAAGGATTGAGTTTCCTTTGTTCCCTGGAGGAATCTGTGGGATTGCAGTCTCTTCTGGTTAAACATGTTAATTTTTTGTTCACCCTTGCTATTGTCAAGCGTGTTTGATACGTTTTCCTGTATTTAAAAAAAAAAAGTTACCTTTATGATGAGCTTTGATTTTGAGAAGGAACAGATATCTGTTAATATTTAAGATTTGTAGCTGAGTAGTAGATGCTGAAAGAGATGTTATTGGACACTACAGATCTGAGCATCAAGCAGGTGCTGGCTGTACACGTCAGGTACCTTTTCTCAGTCACGGTTAAATCACTGGTAAGATCTTCAGTGAAGTCAAGGCTGACGGTCAAAAGGTGAACATCATTAATGAAAAGATCTGGAGTTTATTAACTGAAGTTGTGAGGAGAAATAGTGATAGTTTCAGATGTTAAAAAAACATTTTTTGAGAGGCTTTTTTTAAAACAAAGTTGTTTGTTTCACACACAGTTTTCCAAACTGCAACTTGAATGCAACTGGCGTACTGGCTATGTCATGCAAAATAAAGGTACTGCAGTTGTTTGTGTGTCAGTAGTCTGCAATAGCAGATACAGCCATTTTAATACTGTCTACAGTTTAGCAATAACATAGCTAGTAAATACAATTTTATTTTCTCATGGGTAATTTTTTTTCAGAACAGTAACAGAGGACAGATGATAAAGTGTAAGAGGTATGGCATGGTGTTGGTTTTTTTCTGAGGAGCTTTTTGGATTTGCTAAAGGTCTTGGCCAATGACTTTGTCTTCTGAATGTCAACATTAAATTACTCAACAGTTTCTATAATTTAAATCCCTGTCTTCACTTGTGTGTTAGACTCCAGCTTGATTGTGCTTCAGCATTTAGGTGTATAATGGTTGTTTTCAGTTTTTATGGTCTGGAAGATGGTGCCTATATATCTTCTCAAATTACACAGGAGTTAATTTCTATTTTGCTAATGCCTTGGTGATGTTGCATAGTTCAGTCTAATTTAAAAATGACTTTTTTTTTTAACAGAAAAATGTCTGCCTAACCAGTTGGAGAATTAAAGTGATGGATGGTAACACTGCAATATATGTTGAAGGAAAACGGAAGTAAGAAGAAGTTTTCTGATTTAAATACAATGTAAAACATGTTGGTGGGCTTTCGGCGTCAGAGCTAGAAAGTTTATACCATCTTCATTTGGCTTAGTAGCTGTAGTTTGAGACTTGTATTCTTGGAATATCTTTGTAACGGTTGGAAGCAGTTCCACACACTTATGCCGCTTTCCTCCCCAGCCACAGGGAACGCAGCCCTTTGCATCCTTGTGACAGTGCTTACAGCTCTTACTGTTTTGTTTTAAACATCTTAGCTGTCTTCTGACTAAGCACACAACCCATTTGCTTCAGAGCCTGCAGAACAGCAGAGCTGGTGCATGGCGGGGGTGAGGAACGCTGGTGGTGAAGGAACCATGGGTGTCCTGACATAGCCATGAGAACTGCACCTTCAAGGAACTTAACTCTTAGCCTTTGGTAAATACAAAGTGATGTTTAAACTTACTTACCAAGGAAAGAGATGAATTCCTTCATGCGTGCAAGAAGCAGAGTGCCTACATACAGGAAACTACTGGTCACATAATTATTTCAAAGTCCAGTCCTGAGTCAATCGAAGAGCTTCAGAGGAATAAAGACCAACGTGTCTAGTAGACCCCCCCAAACTGGTGCTGCCTAGGGGTCTTAGGAGCTTCTGCTTCATTTCACAAAAATTCTATTTTGTGGCTGCTTTAAGTGGCACAGACTGCCATCAGCCACGTGTTCCTGCCATGTCATTCGTGATGGCACTATTACTCCTACAGCTATATGGGGAACCATGGCAGGACCTGATCCACCTGAAAAGTGTCTCTCTGGGGTTTTTTGGTTATGTTTTTGGTCAGATTGTATTCAAATAGCTATAAGATGAGGAAAACGTGTCAGAACAAAGGAGAGATTTAGCTTGCAATAAAGTTGTTTGAAGACATTGTGAAAATACACTCTTGGAAAAGAGTATTCTACTCTTCCTGTAGTTAGTAACTACCTAACACAGTTACTTACCTACTGAAAACTCAGAACCTCGCTCAACAGCAGCAGCACTGTGAAAGGAAGTAATTCCGTTTGCTTCCCGAGCGATGTCAGGAGGCTACATGTTCAGTGGTGGGAGTTGTAGTAGGAGCTGACAGTTGTTTCATGCCTGTATGGAAACAACTAATCCTCTTGCTTTGCACACTTCACTACCAGCAACGTGTTCTCTTTTCATTTGTGGTGGTGTGTATCTGATACATGTAACTTACACGTGGTATATTTGATTTACTTTATAGACCCTCTGAATTGACTACTGTTAATATTTTGTGACAAGTTATACAGTTGAATGTTTTCACTGTTGTCTGGCGTTTCAGTCCTTTGTACTGCTCTGTAGTTTGGCTTGTTGGTTACTGTTGTAAAAGTGTATTTAAAAAAAAAAAAAACAAACCAAAAAACCAAAACAAAAAAAAATCCCCCCAACAATTTATGTAGATTTTCTACTTGGGTCTGGTTTTTATTTCTCATGGAGAAGTCCCTTAATAATTGCTTAACAATTCCAGTTTTTGCACATATTAGGGCTCCTTCTTCAGCTCTTCTTGTCTTTAAATAGGAAGGTGAGAAATAAATAAAATAATCCTGGGGAAAGCATACATTTGACCTTATAATGGTAGTTTCGTAACTTGCATAAAATAGTATCACTGCAATAAGGAGCTGGATGGAGTCCTTTAGTCCATTTTGCTTCTGCAGCCTAATGTCAAGCTAATGTTCTGTGACTGACGTTTGCAGTAGTTGACACGTTCAGTTTGTCTTCTGTCCACGTATGAGACGAGGCCAGAACCGTTTCTCTTCCAAGCTAAGAAAATCTAGCACATCCTGCCTGTGTCTGTATCGTTCATAAAATGTAACACTGCCAGTCTCGTATGGAATATCAGTATTCTAGTTTTAAAGTCCTCCTTTTATAAAAACAGTGTTTTACTTCTGTTCTTCGTGTTATCTGTCTTGTCTTAGAGATATGAAAGATCTGACTTGGCATAGTAATGCAATTACAGAACGCATAGCACACAACCAAGTGAGAACATCATCCGGCAGTATCTACTTGCTACAGGGAAATATAGATTCAGCTTCCATGAGGAAAGAAGGTAAGAAGATGATTCTTAATGTAACATTACAAACCGAGAAGACCTTTAGAGTTATGATTGAACATACTGCTGAAGTGAATGTTTTGTCTTATCCTGCTCATTGGTCTCGGTGGGTATTGGCACGTGCTGGAAAGTGACTCCAGCATCAGATTTCTAAGTACTATCTAATGGTAATTGTAGCTGGCATTTCTAGGGTGCTGCAGTTACAGAGAGGGCTTTCAGAGTATGAAGTTGGCTAATGGGTACGTTCTTTTAAAGAAGCTGGTTTTTGCTAAGATTACCTTTATGTAATTTTGGTCAATGCTTTAGCATTTAAATAGTGCTAAGATGTTCAAATGAGGATTGTTTATACACTACTGAAATTAACTCCCGCGTTCACATTCTATCTGTGACTTAACTAGTCAGCAGTTAATGACTAGCTCTGCAATGCTACGTGGAATTTCTGTTTGGAGAGAGACTAGTTATGCTGTGTTGGTGCTTTATAATTTAGTAAACTGATCCATCTTTAGGGTCTAAGTGGTGCGTTGTACCAAATCCAGCAAAACTTCCTTCTTCAGATTGTTTTGAAGCACGTGGAATTTTAATGGAAATTTAATTTCCACACAAAGTTGAAGTTAGGCTGGGCTTTATTCTATTTTTCTTGCTTCATGTGCACCCTCTGTCATGTTCACCAGTAAATGAGCTACTGTGGGAGTGCTTACAGGCAGCTCTAGGAACGTAAAGATCATCTGTGGCATAGATGGAATAAATGTTTGCCTTAATACAGACGTGCCTTGCACGCATGATCGCACTCTTTTTAAAGGAGCATATATGCATCTTTGCTCTTTCAGGCCCAGCACAAAGCATCCAAAGATCTGTCTGGGGCTTTAATTTTTTTCCTCTCATTTGCAGTACTGGGATGCATTTTGATAAATACCTGACTTGGTGGCTCTCTGACTTGAATTTTTTTTTATTAGTTTGTCTGGTAAATACTTATATTTAGTTTTATTTTAATATTCTGAGGAGGAAAAGTGACAGCAAGACACTTCTGAGTAGAGTGACTCCAGATCTACAGAGGTTTCCTAAGCCTAAGAGTTAATGGACTGCACTGGGTCAATTCCTCTGATCTTTGAACTTAGCACTTATGGCAAAACGTCCTTCCTTCTCAGCTTCCCCTCACCTCCCAACATCCTCCAACACAAAAACTACCGTGGGGTCGGTGTGGAAAATACCCTGAACAGATTCAATATTGATATGTGAAACAAAAGAGAAGTTAAAGACAAGCAAATGTAGGTAGAGAGGAGAAGAAATGCCACATCTAAAGCCTAGCCTGAGGATTTCCCTAAACCAACAGTGCTGACAGCCGGGACCAGCTGGGGCTCCCAGCAGCGGCATCGTCAGTTTGTGAACAACGCTGCACTGGTACGGAACTACTTACCTGTGGAAAGGAGTCGACTGATGTGCACTGATACTCCAAGTGATTCTTCAAAGCACTGAAGTTGTTGATGAGAGGCGTTGCAGTAAGAGCACTGGCTAGGCACTTACTACTGCTGCCTTGTTATCCAAAGTGGCCGTTGGCAATCTGGGTCTCCAGATGTGCTACCAAACCTGTCCACAGGTCACTGGTGATGAAACTGTGCAAAGGACAGTACAGGCTGTTGAATTGCACTGGGTCTGTTCCTGGAAAGGTGATTTCTGTGGTTGGTGGCCCCACAGCCAAGCAGGAATCCCTGTGGTGCTTGCTCCACTCCAGCCTGCGTCTGTGCAATGGCACTTGCTGTGTTTGCCTGGAGCCCTTCCTGATGGTCAGGAAATATTTTATCCAGTCCATGTACAGAATGAACCCATGTTCACTATTCTCATGCTAAATCCAAAACACAGCGCCATACTGGCTGCTAGAAAGAAAATTAACCCTATCTCAGCTGAAACCAGGACAGTGCTATAAGGAAATGCTACTCCTAAAGCATTACAAAGGAGCTGAAGGATGAAATAAGTAGCATGCAATATCTCACAAAAGAACTGCTTTGATACCCATGGGCCTGAAGGGTGGCTAAGGCAAAGCTTTTTAGAAAGCTGTTTCCCAAGTCCCTTGAAATTAAGGAGTGTGGAGTTTGGCTTTCATATGAGGTAAACCAATAGAAACTAATAATGAGTGGGATTGGTGGATGTACAGAGAGTGGGGAAAGGCACCTACAGTGCTACTAGAGATAAAGCAATGTCTCACAGTGGTGTAAGATGGCTTTGACGGGGCCCCTAGACTTTGGGCTTCTATCAAGGCTCTTGAGAAGATTTGTAAGGACACAAAGTAGTTATGTGATACGGAGGAGGAGGTTCTGTGGGATTAAATAGCAGTAGAAAATCAGAGGAATAAAAAGCATCCCATAGCGATGTGGGCTGTTGAGCAGATTCGTAAACTTAGTAGGACAGAAGACGAGCTGGGAAGCAGCAGCTGTAGTCTGACGTTGCTAAGTTGCTCTGGATGGTAAGGGTGAGTGCTGGCCACAAAGCATGTCCCAAGAGTTTCAGAATGGGCATTAAAATGATGAAACTCAGTCTTGATAAATGTGAAACGACGCATGTGGCAGTACGGGCAAGAGTATTGTTACACACAGCATAGAAGGGCTTCATAGTTTGGTTTGGGAGGGAGCTTTAAAGATCACCTAGTCCAACGCCCATATGGCAGTATACGATGATATATGATTGTAAGACTCCCAGCTCACTGTACAAGCTGAGAACAAGGTTTGGGGGTGTGATAGATGGCTCTATTAAGAGGTCAGCTTAATGCTCGCTAGCAGTTAAACAACTTGAACGTTGGAAATGAACGGGACAAAAAGACTGCTCTCAGCTATAAAACCTTTATGATACGTGAACAGCTTGAAGACTGAGTACAACTCCACATCTTTCCTTTCCCTTCCCTGTGGAAACCCCAACAACCTACCCTCAAAAAGAATGAAGAAGTAGAAAATGCGTGGAGAAGAATGACAGGTTTAAAGTGCTGAAAAGGCTCTTGTAGGGCAAAGGACAAACTAAGCTTAAGGCTTCTTGGCCTGCAAAACAGGGCGCTGGGGAGGCGTGGGAGAGGTTAATGAAATAACAGAGGGAATGGAGATGGTCAATAAAGATCAGTTATGTGCAGTCTCTTGCCATTAAAGGATAAAGTTGCAAAAAAACTGGTAGAGGGGAAATAAGTCTTCCATGCTACGAGCATCTGCTTTGTGGAAATCCTTGAGCAGGAGCTTGTAGATGCTGAAGTTTTCCATGAGTTCCACTGCAGACTGAGCAATTTCCTGGAAGACAAATTCCACTAGGGCTTTTAAATACATAGAAATCAGTGTTGATTTCTCAGTTGGAGGTTGGGAGACTGCTTGGAGGGAATATTCCTGTATACTTGCCTTGCTCCTATACTCTGGCCTCTGCCATTAGTATCCTTTCCCTGGTTGGGGCTAGATGGAGCTTTGATTGTATGCTAAATAAACTAACGAAACAGTGCCTTTCATTTCCCATCCTCCTGGAGGAGCTCAGTTACTGAACTGTCTGTTGGTGCTGGCTGACATCAATGGCCTTCCATCTCCCAAGAGTAAGTTTGTGGATGTTTGTATCCCTGCTGACTCTTGTGGTCTCGGTGTTGGAGGCTGAATGCTGCTGGGTTTTTAGATGTGGTGAGCAGACAGGTGAGCAGGCAGGCAGTGGCTCAGTGGCGGAGTGCTCCGGCACCCGTACAGGTTACATGTGCCAGTGGGAAGGCTAGGTGAGAGTATCCACGAGAGCGTTAAATGTCACCTGCTGTGCTCAAAAGGCTGGAGCTTGAGTGATGCTTTTTTCCTTCTCTGTTGCAACGAAGGATTACATTATACTTTTGCATCAATATTTGTTTTTAGGGTTGTTTCAATTTCAGAGACAAAATAGAGTCATTCTGTTGTATCTGTACTACCTGAAGAACTTTCCAAGTTTATAATATTGTTGCTAGATACTTTTAGTGCACCTGATCCAGCTTCTGTATCAGAGCGAAATAATGTTTTCTTCCAAGTGGAGTTTCCTTGATATGGTAAGTCCCAGACAGCTTAGACTTAACAGGAGCCCGAAAGCCTCAGGCTGTCTGGGGAACTTGTGGTCCTCTGTGGAGAAGTAGGTGCCAGTCCAGCTGGACGAACGGGGAGAGCTTATGCTCCTGGCTCCCGGAAAACTAGAATGCTGTCTCCAGGTACTGACATCTGTAATGAATGACCCCTTGGTTGACTTCTCTATGAAGTATGCTATTCTCTCAAACTGGGGAAACCTGTCTCTCTAGTGTTTAAAGATGTACTGAGCTTCTGAGATGCTTACAAAACCGTGATTGTACCAGATATTGTTTCTACCCCTTCTAATTAAAAGTATTGCTCAGCTATCATTAATGCTACTTTTGTTTCAAACAGGATTTCCCTACCGTTTCATCAAAAGATTTATGTATGGTTTTTCCAAAAAGTGGAAGGAGTATGTTGAGGAGTTTCTCGAGGAAAGAAGAAGGTAATTTCTTTGGAGTTTCTGTTTCATTGCAATGTTCTCTTAGGTATTTATTGAGATTTTGCTTTTTTAAGAATACTGTACCAGAGGAGTATAAAAGATTGCAGATGTGCGCATGCAGACTATGTTCCAGGCAAATAGTGGTCACTGCTTTGGAAAGACACCCTTTTACCTTTCTCTGTGATACTATTTGGGTTTGTTCCGCTTGTTTGCGTAGCCTTAGAGTGAACAGGAGCAAAGGGCTTCACTGGTGTAGCAGCTCACACGGTCTGTACGAGTACAGCTGCACCATGCTAGTGGGCTTTTGCCAAGGTGAGGAGAAGACTTTGAGTTTACCTGAGTTAATGTGTTGTTAAAGGACAGCTGCTTCAGAGGTTTATTGTTTCTTTTCTTAAACTCCAAATTGTTAGGAAAGAACAAAAACAAAATACTGAAGATGAAAATGAAGAGAGTGACTCGGTGGTTATGGATGTGTTGAAAAATGCAGAAGACTCAGCAAGAAACGTAAAGAAACCTGAAACCAGAAACACCACCTATGAAGTATTATCAAAGAATGATGAAAATGCTTGTAAGTATTTGATAATCCTTTTCTTTGGAAAAAAAGTTGGGGTTTTTTGGGAGCTGTTTTCCCCAGCAAAAGATATGTCTGTTTTGTATCTTGTTAATTAGGTAGTATAGAAGAGGTAACAAAGTAGTTGAGTGAAGTTTTTGGTTTGTGTTCACTTAGACTGCAGTGATCAAGAGCGCTGAGTTGTTTCTTTATTTCTATTTGCTGCTGTACAACAGCTACAAGTGTCCTGGGGCTGTGCTGGGAGTTAGGAGCCTGTCTTGGTCTGTAGGAGCTGAAGGCAATGACTCCAGCGCTGTTTATTCTGATAGCAAACTTGACTTAATTTTTTCCCATTGCTATTCTGTGTAATATAATCTCTTCTTAGTCCTCCTGGGACGCCTGTAGGATTTAATACCTCCATCAAGGCTCCATCCTTGGGAGTCCTCCCCTGCAATGCCCACCCCCTTTTTAGCTGGGTTAGTTTTAACTCTTGTCAAGTCTTGGAGCAGGTTCATTTTATGGCATCTTAATGTTTTTGCCACAGTTGAGGCATAGAGAGTGATCACAACTGGGGATGGATGGAACGGATTGTGGAAAAATTCATTATGTTGGCTCTGTTTCCCAAATAAATGATTGTAAAGCCGTAACCTATTGATCTGCCTGTTTTTTCTTTGCCTTGTAATGCAATCCTAGCCTTGTTATGGACACTAATTGCTTTTGGGTTTAACTGTGACTCCTTTTTAATATCTTGCCAAAGGTTCCAATAGGGTTTGGCCAAACTTCCTTGTACTATTTGTTAATATCGTAATCAGATTTTCTTGCTAACATTGTAAAAGCTGTTTTATTTTTTTTTCTCATTACAATTAGGATTTGTTCAGTGTGACAACTTTTCTTTATCATTCTACTTCCCTATATGACTTTTACAGTATTGATAACCTTCTAAACAAAGTAAAAATAAAAAGTTCACAACAATAAATTTTATAATTTGTCACGTTAAGGTACCCTTATTTCTAAGTGTTTTTAAAAGAACAACTTAACATTGTAGTAAGTTTTATATTTTTCTTGTAGTCAGTGCAAATGAGCAGGTTTCAATCCAATATTGCTCCTATGCTTGTGAAGAAATCCCCAAAGCTGAATTTTCAATACGGTATTTGGGACAAAATGGTATTTCTTGTTTTTTCTTCCAGATACAACACCAAAGCACAATTCTGTATTGAATGACTCAAACAGAGTTTACACTCGCAGCGGCCGTCTTGTTAAACCCCCGTTAAGTTTCTGGTGCGGGCAGCGTGAGTTTGTTGATCAGAAACTAAATGTGACTATAGAAGAAGGTGGAGTGGATTATTTGAGCTTGGTAAGATTCTTATGCATATTGTTACATAAATATGTCTTAAATATAATGAACAAATTTGGCTGGGTATCTAACAGAAAGAGTCCAGCTCTTATAAGTACCTGCAGGGGCAGGAAATCTTGAAAACATTATAAAAACATTTTAAAACAAACAAAAAAATAGTCTTGATCTCTGTATTATCAGATAATTGTTGTTGTCTGTAAAAGGGGGATAATGGAGAACGACTTCTGGAAGAATAGGTGTTTTTTTGAAAGATAAATATATCAAGCAGGGAGTTGCCCACAGGTGCTGGTCTGGGTCACAGGGGTTCCCAAGTTCTTTCTCTCTAAGGTTAGTCGGCCCTATGGCACGGGGGGAGCACTACCACTGATGCTCAGCTGCAGCAGTGAAGATGTGTGTCCAATTTACCACCAACTCCGGCAGTTCTAGGTCTTGAGATTTTTAACCTGTGCTTTAGAATATTTAAATTTAAAGGAAGCCTGGCTAAGCTGCTTTGGTTGCATGCATTTGTATAAACACGTGTTCATCAAAGAGTGTTTAGCAGATACTGGTCGATGTAGGTGACTTTTAAATCTACCCATCCTGTAAACGTTTGGCTTTTTCAGAGCTGGCACCGGTAGGCTTGATATGTAATGTCTTGCAGAAGTTTAGATTAAATTGTTTTATTTTGAAGATGTTTAGTAGCGAAAAATCCCAACGGAAGACCAGTTCCGTCTCTAAGAAGAATAAAACAAAGGAAGTAATGAAGGGAACAGAAAAAACACCAAAAGGCCAAAGTAAAGGTAAATTTTTTTTTCTTTTTTTAAAGTTACTGACTAGAATCAGTGGGATTATGAGTTGGGTGCTGGAGCGGTATGGTGATGTCCTGTTAATGCAAAGAAATTACTTAAATCTTTTAGTGGTCGACTGCTTCTTCTATGAAGAATTATCAGAGTAGCCTTAATGCCTAGTTTTACAGGTCTGAACATAAACTATGTTTGTAAATCACTTCTTTATTTACATAATGGCAATATGCAGAATTCTTTCTGGAAACTGAAATGGAAGGATTACGATTTTTTTGAAGTTTCTGCTCCCGTACTCTGGATCTCTCAGAACAGCTATTGTGTGTGACTCGAGAGAGCCTGAAGAGAAGCAGAGTTCACCAGGCCAGTGAACTGGTGGTCTGGCTCGACTCTTTAAGCTGGATGACTTAAAATAAATGAAATGCCTATGGAGGCAAAAAAGGTGTATTAACAGTTTTAAAACCTTCATTTTTAATAGAACTTGGGAAATAACAGAACCCTGAAAACAATGTAAATGTAAAGCAGAAGTTTCTCTGTTGAAGCAGCTGTAATGTTTCCTGCAGAAAAGCTCTTTGCAGCACAAGTAAAGCTTTTGGGATGTTAGTGTTTGCTTAGCCTCAGGCATGGCATCTTAGCAACATTTTCTGTTTACTATTTTATTCTCTATCTGCTCAATGCTGTCACGTTCCCTTTGGCAGCCTTGACAATCCCAATTCTTCAGTCTCCTGGAGGCAGTCTGTGGTGGGGTTGAAGGGGGCAGGAACAGGAGGTCTCCTGTCCATGAGGAACCCTCCCCACAGCTGGCTGTGCTCCCCCTGGGCAGAGGGACACTATTCCATGCTTACAACTGGTTTCACTCTTTGTAAGAGTCGTGTGTAAATGGATTTTCTCTGCCTCTTGACTGCCGTGCAGAGGAATGGCCTGCCTGCTGGGACATGCTCTCCTGTCTGTGTCATGTAACCTCTTGTTCCTGAAGAATTTAATCCTGACTATGTGGGAGCATATGTGTGAAGGCAGAAGGCCTTTACTCAATCCTTCTGAGATACACGTCTGGGAAAAGAGGTGTAGGCATCTCGGGGACCTTCAGCAGGTGCTGGTTTTACTCAGTCACATTTGGTAAGGTTATGGACATCCCTTAACAGCAGAAATGAGTTTGTAGTCACAGGTAAACCTTTGGAAACGGGTTGCAGATACTGTGTGCTACATGTCTCTGAAATGGGGAGGGGCGAGCAGTGCAGAGCATGGTGAAATGTTCCCCACCAATTTCTCTCTTGAGTCACATTTTGCTGTTTCAGAGGGAAGCAGCATTTAATTTATTTTTGTATCCCAATGTGACCATTCAACAGAATATCTCCTTGTCCTGAAGAACTGCAGTGTTCTGTTAGTGTGGGGAGAGGCTTCCGCAGAATGTGGGGAGCTGCACGCTGGAGCTGTGCTGCTTGTCTCTTCCTGCAGGCTGCAGCCTCTAACAGAAAGGAGTTCACTGGGATGCATTGCACCCCGCAGCGAGCTGGTCTCTGCTTGTCTGACAACACGGTCATGATTAACATTGCAGTGTGTGGTGATCTGCTGACATCCTCTCTTTCAGGGAAGAACAATGAAAAAGGATTAAGTTCCAAAAGAGAAACCAAGTCCACTGGAAGCAAGGAGGCCAGGCAGTTCATTTCAGATGATGATGAAAGTGATCGTGCAATTGATAGTACAAAAATTAAAACACAGGTTTCTGTTAAGCTGACTCCCTTAAATACTGCAGTACTAAACAAACGTGACAACAACAGCAGAATCCCAGGAACAACAAAGGAAAAGAGAGGAACAGAACATGGAGAACGGGCTCTGTGTCAGCAGGCTTACAAGTACTCTTTAAGGTCAGCCAAACAACTGCAAGACAAGCATTTGACAGAAGAATCATCAAGCAAAGATGAGGAAGAGGAATCCAGTGAAGATATCCCACTGTCTATCAAAAGGAAAAGTCAACCTTTATTTGAAAAAGAGACTCAAAACTCTTCCTCTAACTGTAAAAGTTCACAGGATGATGCAAACAAAGTGTTGTGTGAACAAAGGACAGTAAAACACTCTACTGCCTCCCGTAACGTGCCCTTGAGGCTAAGTGTGCCCGGGTGCCTTGATGGTTCTGATTTACTGGAAGGAAAAATTCGTTCTAGTGACTCTAGTACTTCCCATCTGCCTGATAAGACAATGAGGATGAGAAGCAGAATCAACCCTCCAAGGTATTTCCTTGAATCTGACACTGAGCCTGAAACCAGTGAAGAGGAATTTCAAGTAAAAGAAAAGAATTCAAAAGTAGCGGATAAAAAACCAAATTGTAAAGTTTCTAATACTGCCAAGTCTTCAGCAGCAAAATCAAGAGAACCTGGGCGGGAAAAGGTGCAGAAATCTCTAGAAGTTTTTCCCAGTGCAGCTGACGGTTGGTCTGAAAAGGAATTGCAGAAGCTCTACAGGCAAGTGGTCGCCCTGTTCACAGGGCAAAATTTCCCTTTGGAAACTGGGGGGTTTGAATGGTCTGGGTTTGGAGTTTTCAGATTCGATCTCCTTCACGTTATGTTAAAGGTTTCCTTTACGTTTTAATTCCCTCTTAAAAAATACTGTTAACAAATTAAGAGAGAGTGAAATAAAGGAAACGACTGAATATTTTCTAGAATAACTGTAGATGTGTGAGCCTGCAGCAGCCCCTACTAGTCATCAGTGTAAAGTGAGAGCAACACAGATATTGAGAAAAATTTTCTAAATCTACTCCTCTACCTGTTTTTCAAAAACACGTACTTAAGTTAAAAGTGGTAAACATTTCTATGAGTAAAATTGGAAACCATGAGTAGGTAAATAATATGGTAAAAGTATTTATGATTTAGACAGTAAGTCAGAGGCAGCATATTCTTTCCTCTAATGGAATAAAATGCTAAACATGACGTGCTTATGTATTTAAGTTTTGTAAAGGGGAGATTAACTGCAAGAACGTTTAATCAATGCATCATCCAATTACTTAAACTACTGGGCAGTATTTAGTACATACGTTAAGTAATAAAATGACCATGTTTGAGTTTGTTTTGTTTGGATTAGAAACCTGAAAAGGCATGAGCTCATGTCTCCGGGGTGGGGGGGCCCTGCCGCAAATAAGGAAGAAATTTATCTTATTATTTAAGGGAGCTGCTAGCTTAAACTATTCAAACAAATGTGTGTGTTTTAAAGTGTCTGGACGAGACACCAGAGACAAGGTTCTCTACATCCAACGCGCAGCGCCTTTCTAAGAAGGGTGGCTGGTCGCTGGTTGTTTCCCTTGGCAGGTTCTTGGGGTGACGAGGGTTGCGGCTCTGTTCTCTCGGCAGGGCTGTTGCCTCCTTTCCAAAGCACAAGAACGGCTTCTGGGTGGAAGTCGCCATGGCGGTGGGGTCTCGCTCTGCCGAAGAATGCCATCAGAAGTACGTAGAGGAACAACAGGCAAAAGGTTCCAAAATGCATGTCAAGAAGACCACTGCTTCAGGCAAACCAGAGCAGAAAGGTACTGACATCCTGTTTCTGGGTATCTTCTTGTCTTTAAGTAATTTTAAATGCAGTATTTATTATGTAATGAGAGATACAGACAAACATGCATCAGGATCCGATAGTGAAGAAGGCTATCTTCTATAGTATGAAGGTTTATTGCAGAGCTCGGAGAATGTCATAAATGACTGAAGTACAAGAAGAGAAAGGGTCTTTTTTTAGAGTTTTCCAGTTTTTGGCATGATGGGAAGATTTAAAGTGGTCTTGCCACCTAAGGGGAAATAGCTGTTTGTACCTTAAGAGGCTCCTGGAGGCCTAGTGGATAACAAGCTGCTTGTAGAGCGCTCTACCCAGAAAGGATATGGGGTGCTTGGGCGCGCTAAGGGCTGCGGAGCAAGAACAGCAAAGTTACGTTCTCTGGTGTCTGGCACCGATGTGCTTGTTGCTGTTTGCTGTCCAGTTCTGAAGTCAGTAATTCATGTTTACGGAGAGCACATACGCTCTGAAGTGAAAGGCACAAGATGCTCAGTCCAGGTATTTAATGCAGAGAAGGTTACAATGAGTTAGTAAGTGCTTAGGTAAGGAAAGCTATTTGATAGCTGACAAAGACATGCTGTCACTCAGCTGAAGCTTTAGGTGTTACACAGCTGCGGGCAAGGATGACTCTGAGGTTTCTCAGCAGTTAGAGCCGTGCATCAGTCTCCATTTACTGAAAGCATTAAAATCGTTTTTTCTGTCCAAATGAGGTGACCCAGGCTGCTCTCAGTTACTGGACTTCATGCGGGAATGCTTGGCTCCGGTTCTGTAGGCTCTGTAACGTGGAACGGACCAGACGACCTCAGGAGGTTTCCCTGCCCTTGAATTCACTGAACCGTGATTTTGCACTGACTTGGAAAAGCTGCAGATTGAGGGTTCAAGTGCAGGACGATGCACTTTATTTTTACTTGAATGTTTCTTTGAAACATTTGTTGCAGTTACAGAATTCGTGTGAGAATCTGCTGGGCAGATTGTTCCTGAGCATTTTGGAGCACAGACAGAAGCCATCTTATTTTGACTGTTATCCTGGTATCCAAATTCCCCGCACTTCTGTGATTATGAAAGCTTGTTTTAATGTTGCTGTTCATTTCTCCGCTGCTGATCTCTTATAGAGAATTTTTTCCTGTTTCACCCTGGTATTTGACATTATTTGATGCAGCTTAATAGAAGACACGATTGTTTTGGTTAGTGAGCGTTCATAAAGGGTCAGTCTGCCACAGTGGTTTTGAGGGCTTTTTTGCTTTGAGGAAAGCAATGTTTGGACCCTCTTGGATTCACTTGGGCCTTTTAAATACTAAAAGACTCTAAAATGACTGTAGCAAAGCAAAGGACTAAGTGCAGCCCTGCGTAAATACTGAGCACGGATCTTCCTTGGCAGTTAGGAGCTCTTCATGGGCTTTCTCTCAGAAGGCGAGCGCATCCTGTTAACGATGAATCTTAGCATAGATACAAAAATACTTTGTTCTTTTGAAAGTCTGTGAACTGTGGATTAATTTTCTTCTTTACTTGACTGTTTGCACAAGCAGCTATTATAGTTTTTGTCTGAAGATGAGGATACTGGGAAGATGTTCTTCTAAATTTGCCCAGAAATTCACTCAGAAAGCAGAGGATAGGAATACATATACCAGTGGAAGTGAGAAAGTCCTTTCTTTCCTTCAAGTAGGTTTAATGGCTCATCATTTAGGTGCGGTAATTGGATTAAGGTTTGCAAAGGATGCAGCTGTACGCGCTCAAGTCGCAATGGACGTTCCATAAACCTTGTGTCAAGGATGTTAAACTGGTCTCTGTGCAGTGGAACCTGTTTGGGCGCTTTATGCCTCTTGACATGGGTTCTAAATCTAAGTGTCTTTTGTCTCCGAAATGCAGTTGCATGGATAATTCTGTTAAAATCGTAATAAAATAGCTGATGTATGACACTTGCAATGGCTATGCAAGGCTCTAGAGTAAGCTTTTGATAAAGATGTGGAGAAATTCTTTCTGAAAGCACTAATTGTATAAGAACACAAAGACGCTATAAAACACTTCCACAAGGGAGACACTGGACTCCGTATCACTAGCACTGATTATAGTTAGTGAATTTTAAAACCATACTACATAACTGCTGTCTTAGAACAATTAATATTTTGATTCCCTTAGATAAGAAAGAGCCGGTTATGATAACTGCCAAAGTAGGGACCTTCAAAAGAAAGCAGCAGATGAGAGATTTCCTGGACCATTTGCCAAAGGACAACCACGATGATATTTTCACCGCAACGCCCTTTCAGAACAGAAGAGTGAAGGTAAATCTGGGAAAGCAGTGTGTATATGTGTATGTTTTTTTTCTGGTTGGTATTTCAGGGGGGTGTTACAGTCTGCTGGTTCAGTTCCATCAATAAAATCTTGTGGATTTGGGGGAAGAGGCCTATTTCCTTGATTTGTTATTGCAATAGTTGGATTGCCGGCAGTGAGAACGTGTGGAACATGGCTTCTGCAGAGGAGCGTTTCCGCTGGATGGATGTGTAAAACCAGGCTGTGGTAGGGGTGTCCTTTCTGCCTCTGTGCAGGAGGAACTCCTGATGCTGTGATGCATTGGTTGTGCAGTGGAACCGCTGAGCTGGGGGCGACCATCGGATCCTTGTGCTATGGAACTGTGCTATGGAACTCTTTCTAAAGTCATGCTGATGCCAAACAGGGTTTTTGTCTTTCTCTCCTCTCAGCACGTCTCACGTGTAAAACCGCTCGCCTCTTGATGATGCCTGTGGGTGGGTTTCCTTTGGGAGTTCTGTTATCCCCTCGCCTGTTCAGTTACTCTGTCCTATTTGTTGCGCGTTTGGACTGAAGAGCTGCCCCATTTCCTTGGGCTTGTTTCGGCAACCAAAGCAGGAGCAGCGCCCTCCTCTCCCCTCCCGCTCCATCTGCAGCCCCCAGCTCCCCCAGCAGATGCAGCACTGGGGCAGGAGAGCGTTACCCCAGCTCGGTGATGAACCCCCACTGAGCTGTGGTGAAGCGTGATCGTGCACTCCAGGTATTAGTTAAGACGCTATTTTAATTTGTAAAGAGAAAGGTGCTCATTTATCAAGAGAATGAGTTGGGTTTTTCCCTCTGTAGAAAATTTTTGAAGCTTATTTCCTGACACATCTCTCTGCCATTATCTGACCAAACTAGCTCTGCCCATTAAAACTAGCACCCAGTTCCAGCAGGGACTCCAGTCCACACCTGTAGCTCTCTGGATGTGTTTGCTCTTCTGTGGGATTTTTGTAGCAACGGTGTGTTTCTTATTCTGGCACTCATCCAGACGTGGAGTAACGCCGTGGCTCATTGGAAAGTCAAAATTTAAGCAATGTTAGCTTCACTGCTGTTATAAACTGCAGTGTGCTGTGGCAAAATCCCTGTCACAAGTATGAGTGATTGGCTATGTAATAATGGATGTGTCCACGACAGACACCCTGTTTTTGCAAAAGAGGAGAGTCCTCTTTTGGTAGAGTACGATGTCAGCTAGTGATTCAAAAGGGTTCTCCTTTCTTTTTTGGTTTTCTTTTTTTCTTTCTTTTCCCCCCAAATTTATTTTGCCTAGCTTGAACTGTGCAAAAGAACCTAACCTCCCTCTGTCATGTATGGCGAGAGGTGTACCTCCTGAGAGAAATCCTGCGTGTTTAATTGTGAGTGGATTCCCCTAACGTGAATGAGTCCAGTCCCTCCTTGAACCCATGCAGACTTTCTTGTGCTAAGTCCTAGAGCTGAACTATTTGCTGTGTGAAGAAGTGTAATCTTTTTATTTGTTCTGAACTTACATCTGCTGACTTTGCCCTCCTCACGGGGAAGAGACAGTGAACGACTGTCCTGGTCCCTGTTCACCCCTGATGCCGGTTATAGCTCTTCCCCCCGCCTGGGACCTGCTGTGCTTTTGATCATCTGTGTCATTCCTCTCTGAAACTTCCCAGTTCTCCTCTCTCTTCAAAATGGAAGGACCAGAAGCTCACTGAGTAATCCCCAAATCCTCCTCCTGAGTAGAAATGGTCAGCTTTGAGCTTGTAATTTTAATGAGAAATTATTTTTTGAATGTGTAGTAGCAGTCAAAAAAGGTCATCAAAATGTTGGGCATCAACAGGAGGAGTAGTAAGAGCAAGACGGAGGCGTCATTTGGCTGCTGTCGTGCCTTGCACACCTGCATGCTGTGTACTGTGCACATTGCTGGCTTCTGCGTCTCAAGAGGGACAGAGCGGAGTCAAAAACACAACTGAAGTGAGGAACGGAATGGAGCAACTGCCTGTTGAGGAGAGAATAGTCTGGGACTCCTCTCTTAGGGAAGAGGGACACAACGGAGGTTCACAGCGTCGCAAAGAGGCTGTGTCCTGTCGCCGCTCTGAGACAGACCCCTGAGAAGCCTTTTCAGCAGACTTCTGTTAAAAAGGGCAGGTCATTGATTGCTCTGATGTGGCTTTGTAGTTGCCAACGTTCCGGGGAAGCCGCGACGATGATGATGATGACTTTGCACTTACGGACAACCCGATCACACCTTCCTCAGCTGTCTTCCCTACAGTGAAAACCCCTCAGTGTGAGCATATCAGCCCTGGTATGCTGGTACCCATCAACAGGTAGGAACTCATAGTGCTCTGCTAACCCCTTCCTTTCTGATTGTTCCCAACGTTGGTTTTTTGTCTTCTGAGCAAGATCACTCTTGGAACTGGGACGCCAGCTCACTCCCATACTTAGAGCGTGCATAGTGAATCCTGCAGTCCTTGAGGGATTTGTTTAGAGACAGCTCTTGCCTTTGACACTGTGTGACGTTTAAACTACTCCACTAAGTGTGGGCAATGACAACACTGCCATTCGCGTGTCCTTTTGCCCTTGGAGAAGGCAGTGATTTGAGCTTTGGCCTCAGCAGAGTTTCCTCTGCTCCTTTGAGCCTTAACCCGTTAACCCAACTGCTTCAGGCTTTACTGAAACAAACTGGAATCGTCTTGAAACTTGCAGACAGCGGCATTTTATCCAATGGACAGGAAATGGACTTCATTTGGGAAGATGATGAAGCTTTGTCTGATACTTGCATTAAGAGTTCTAGCATGTGATCTAATTAAACACTTCCGTGTCATTATTCTCCCAGAGCTGCTGTTATATTTAATTGACCAACAACTGTTTTAATGGCCATGCTAATTTTGTTTCGGAGTCCAAGCTGTATGTGTAATGTCTTTAAGTGTGTCCAGTGGGCTCCGCAGGTGGCACACCCGTGACGCTAATGTGCTTGATTGCATCTACAGGAACGATTACGACAGGCATGTGTTCAGAATGCAGAAGAACACGCAGGGCAGCAGAGGCACCTGGGACAATGTCAAGAAGAAGTCGGTAATGCTGGTTTCCTTGAATGTTGCCTAGTTCCACCTTAATGATGCAAAGTTTTGCTAAGCAGCAGGCAAAAGAATCCCAGGCTCACAGACTAGTTGTGTACATTCAAGATGGAAAACAGGAACCCTCCCCTCCTTCCTCCCAGACTTCTGGGTTTTGTATCTGCTTCTCTTGGAGAAAACTTCTTCTTTTCTAACAAAAAGAGCTATTTCTTGTTGGGGTTAAATACATTGCTTTTTTTTCCGGATTTGTAACTGCTTTTGAGTTCTGGGATCCCTAGGTATGTCGAGTTCCTGTTACATTCTTCTATTCAGTGGGAAAGGAAGCAATAATTCTCACCTCGTATCAGATAGTCCCTGAATTTGTGTACGTACTCCGTCAGTATCCTAGGTTTTGTAATTCTAGCTAAGAAGAATTACAATTCTTCTGGCTGAAAAGCTGAGATCCCAGAGGCAGAGAACAGGCTTGTGTCTGCAGTTTAGTGACAGCATTTGTGGTAGCCGACCAGTTTACATGTTTAGTGAAAATGTAGCATAGCAGTAGGGCAACTTCATTCCGGGCGGTGTGGGGTCTGTGCCAGTTCTCCCCCTCCCCACGCTGTTCCCGTGCTGTTCGGCTGTTTGAGCAGAGCCTTGTTGTTGCTCCTCAGGCTGGAGGCATGCTTGGGACGCCGGCTTCGCACAGAGCCAGGTTCAGCTTTGATCAAAGTAAGTGCGCTGTGGGTTTTTTTTTTCCTCCTTTATCTCAGGCTCCTTCACTTACTGTCACATCGCCACTGCCTTGCTGGGTGTCCACAATCTTTGTGCTTCATCATTTTTCCACAGTCTGTTTCTCAGAAGTGTCTTTGCTTTGTGGACCTTGTGTAACTGCTCTTCAAGCCTGAGCACACGCGCTAATAACCCGTTTTTCTTATTGCAGGAGTGAAGCAGACCTCTGTTGTGGGGAAGCTCTTTGTGGCCGAGGCAGCAGATTCATCAGATGAAGAACAGGATGATTCCTACTTTTCTGCTTAATGAACTATGTGGATGTTGTTAGTTGAACACTTAGGTGCCTCTCGTAGGAAGCCAAGGGCTTTGGCCACTGCTCTGAGATGACACTCCTGTGATGTTAAGAGTTTGGTTTGGGAACCTTGACCTGTACTGTTTGAGGTGTTTTAACACCATTCTCCTCTTCCCGCCTCTCCAGAGCGTTTGTCGTTTTCTGTGTGTACAAAGTGGCACTTCCTTGTCCTGGATCCTCCTTCCCAGTGCCCTGTTTCTCCTGGGGGAGGGAGAAATGTACTTGGATACCCATTGCTGGCAGGTTTCCATTTGTTTCAAGATAAAATATCTTTCTGAAATATGGCTGTACAATAAATTCATAATGGTACAGTCTGTAACTAATTGAAATTGCTTTTTAATTTCCTTTACTGAGAGTTTGAATTTTTACATTTCCTTAATGTAATAATAAAAAAAAAAGTAATAATAAAAAAAACCAGGTTTATTTTACACATGTACGAATCAGACTCTTTGTGGGGGGGAGAAGCAGTATGCACAAGCTGTCCATTGGTGGTGTTTCAGTTCTCTGGGCCTGTACGTTTTCATCCTCTCCTTTGTC